CAGGGAAGTCCCAGTCCTTATATTTTAGAGACAGATAATGATGTCTTTAAGGTTGAAATGATAGAACTGCTTCAAAATAATGAAAGAGGTAGGACATACAGAGGAAATAATACTGGCCATCTGTTGATAACGTGTCTCACTGGGTATGGTTACATGCAGAGTTCATTCCACTATTCACTTCTGTATGTGTTTTGGAGAGAAAAAAGCAAACAGCAGTTATATACACAACATATAGGCTGCTGGCAATTCCAAGAAGCCTAACACTTACCATGTACTACAGAGTGAGGCAGGAGATGTCTATACTTCTGAGAGAAATAACATTTTGGTGACTATGAATTAAAACTGTCTAGTAGGGCTTCCCTGGTGGCGCAGTGGTTGAGAGTCTGCCTGCCGATGTAGGGGACACGGGTTCATGCCCCAGTCCGGGATGATCCCACATGCCGCGGAGCGGCTAGGCCCGTGAGCCATGGCCACTGAGCCTGCGCGTCTGGAGCCCGTGCTCCGCAACGGGAGAGGCCACAACAGTGAGAGGCCCACATACTGCAAAAAAAAAAAAACTGTCTAGTAAAATACCTGTAGATGCCATACGGTATAATTACTCATTTTTTGCTTCCAATTTCCTTCTTAGATTCTGAATCCCCCCCCCCTTTTTTTTTTTTTCGTTCGCCGGGCCTCGACCGTGTTGGGTCTTTCAGCGGCCATGGCTCAACGGGCCCAGCCGCTTCGCGGCATGTGGGATCTTCCCAGACCGGGGCACGAACCCGTGTCCCCTGCATCGGCAGGCGGACTCTCAACCACTGCGCCACCAGGGAAGCCCTGAATCCCTTTTTTAGATGTTAAAAGTCACAAGTAAAAATGTGGACAGTAACTTAACTGTTTTTTCTTTTCTAAACAACTTTCAGTGTCAGTGACAGTATCTGCTAACATTGTGAAGATTTTAGAAAAGAACATTTATTTCAATTCCCTTCATAAATTATTAAGCCTCCACTGAAAAGAGGGCACACTTGAATTTGATAAATTATGAACAAAGTCTCATTTTACATATTATTAGAATCAGAGTTAAGTCAACACTTAATTTCACTTTTGGGTTGAGATCTACAATATAAAATCCTCAATTTGAACTACAAAGTTCCTTTTATATATATAATAATAAAAGCTCCAGACCAACTTTACAATTCCCTACAATCTCAACTCTTCAGATGATCAGAAGGCTACCAATGCCTTCTCTATCAAACACTGAAATCTCTGCATGTGAACACTAACCAAAAGGTGCTCACACTAGGCAGGTAAAATCATATGCTTTCCTCATTACCCTGGTTGTTTAGGATTAAAAAAGCAGAGCAAACTGCTTAACGCAAAAATACTAATCTCAAGGAAATGTAAAATATTAATCAATGAGGGAGGAGGGTGTGTCAATGAATCCTTGGAACAGTATTAAAGCTGATTTTTGAGTTGAAAACTACTTTAGTTGAACACTACTTTCTCTGAGATCCAAAGGTAACAATCTACAAAAGTTGGAAAGGCCTGTAAAGCAAAGCACTTTCCCTGATAGTGGTTACATATATCTTTACAAATAAATGAAAGGTCAGTAATTTGCATCACAGAAGCATCCTTCACTTAAAAATGAGTTTCCCCCAAGTGCTTCTAGCTCACAATTAAAAACCTAGTATTGGGCTTCCCTGGTGACACACTGATTAAGAATCCGCCTGCCAATGCAGGGAACACGGGTTCGATCCCTGGCCTGGTAAGATCCCACATGCCGCAGAGCAACTAAGCCCGTGCACCACAACTACTGAGCCGGCGAGCCACAACTACTGAGCCCGAGTGCCACAACTACTGAGCCCGAGTGACACTACTGAGCCCAAGTGCCACAACTACTGAAGCCTGCGCACCTAGAGCCCATGCTCCGCAACAAGAGAAGCCACGACAATGAGAAGCCCGTGCACTGCAACGAAGAGTAGCCCCCGTTCGCTACAACTAGAGAAAGCCCGCGCACAACAACGAAGACCCAACACAAGACCCAACACAGCCAAAAATAAAAACAAATAAATATACATTTATTAAAACAAACAAAAAAACCTAGTACTGACACTAAGGAGGTGGGTCAGGAAGCAGTAGTTCACAAGCTTTAGAATGCATAAAGATGCCATTTTTAAAAATGCAGATTTCTGGGGCCTTAATGTAGACCTATCAGAATGGGGGTGGGTGGGCGCCCCAGAAGTACAGATGTCTGCATTTAAAACAAATTCCACAGATCAGTCTGATGCAGACATCTAGGAATTTTTTAACACTAAGGTAAAGCTTCCATTTCATTGTTAAACAAAAGGACCCCACCCAGCTGAAATGGCTTTCTGCATCCAGTGCAAGTGTGGCAAAGAAAAATTTCCAGATAGAACAGGAATGCAAAAATATTGGGGGGAATTCCCTGGTGGTCCAGTGGTTAGGACTCCACGCTTTCACTGACTAGGGCTTGTGTTTGATCCCTGGTCAGGGACTAAGATCCCACAAGCCTCGAGGCGTGGCCAAAAAAATAAAAAAAATAAAAAATTGAAATATCAGGTTACAGTGATGGTGAAACCCTTACAGTACATACTGGGGTTGTCTATTCCTCCAGGATTTTAGCACTAACAGCCAACAACATACGCAAATGACTTGGAAGTGATGCCACGAGCTTCCCCAGCTTTATAAAACTCTATAGTAATTCCTGCTTATTTAGAAGAGGCCACACGCTGGTCTATACCAACGTTTCCTTGCAGACAAGAATCTGAAACACCAGCAATTGACTTTCTCAAATCCCTGAATCTAGAATGAAGTGCAACTTGTCATTAAAGGCATAAAATATTTTAACAGCACCAAAAGTTTACATCAGTGAGAAAGCACTAAAAGGAAAAAAAAAAAAAACCCTGAAAGGAAAACATTTATTGAACTAAGATGACATAAAACTTAAGTTGCTTTTCTGACAGCCTCATTACTTATGTTATAAACCCAGCACATGTAATGGAATATGGCAATAAAATACCACCAGGAAAAAAAGTTTCTCCACAACACTTGTTCAAAACCAATTAGGCACAGACATAGGCTGCTCCAGTTGATGAGCAATCAAAAGGAATTTTCTCTCTGTAATTCAAAATAGATAAATATCCTATTTGCCCATCAAGTGAATCATAATGCTCATTTTTTTCTTTTTGCAAAGCTTAGATTACTGAGTGAAGTGGTAAAAGAAAAAGTTACTTCACTGTGACAAAGAAATGCCTAGAAAAGAAAGAATCAAGGCAAAAAACACAGTTACTCTATGAATTCTACCACAACACTTCATACTACTGTGGAATCAGGCAGCGCCCACAACTTTAGTCAAACGCTTATTTTTAAAGTACTGAAAAGACTCGTCTAGCACCAACTTGTTTTCCCGCACTGCAAGAGAAATTTTATTCTGACCAAAGCCTATGTTTAAAATGAGTAAGCACCTTAAAAAAAAAAGGCATATTTGTTTATTCCTTCATATTTTGATTAGTAACTGCCTTTAAATTATCTTGTTTGATCACAACCGCATGTAAAATTAAATTCTACATCTATTCTTCAGGTAAGACCTGAAATAAATGTTACACATCGTGTTCAAAACACTAGATAAACATCAGGGTATCTGCAGAGAGCCAGTTTCATAGAACTGTGGAAAGTGAACAAGATCACAAAGATTAGGTTTAGTATCGCCATTTAACTTGCCAAAAGACCTTGGGTGAGCCTCTCAAGTCTCATCTGTGAAACTGGGTTTATAATTATTTACCCCTACAGGGTTAAGAGAATCAAATGAGTTTCACGTGAAAATGCCTTGACAATTATCTACATGAATGGCTTACCAGACCGTACTGCTATCAAACAACATTTGTAAATCACGGTGAACCCTACCAAGTTATGACCTCTTTTAAAATTTTATTTCCCCATATAAGCGTCGAAACTGAACCATTACTGAAATATACTGTTACGATTTTTACCACTAATGCTGGCCAGAAATTTCAGTCTAAATACGTCGCTCAGCCCAAATAACGGTAGAATTTGCCCTTTCCCCTATTTCACAATGAAGTGAAAACTCCAGAGCCTATAGATGTAAAAAAAAAAAAAAAAAATTCCTTCCTTTCCCGCCTTTCCCTGCCTAATTAAGGTGCTTTTCAATTCTGCCAAGGGTCTTTTTGACTTCCTTGATACTTAAACAACAACAATAAATCATCCCTTATCCTAGGATCCAGGAGGACTCCTCCCTCCCGGCTCCCTCCGGCCACGGGGTCAGACACTTGACCCTGGGGCGGCCCGGGCCCCAAACCGCGCCGCGGCCCCGGCGGGCCCCAGTCCGTTCCACTCCCCTCCCCCACGGCGCCCGGGCACAGGCCCAAGGCCCGCGGGACTTACGCTCTCGTGGTCCCACCGCACGTTGCTGCGCTTCTCATCCGGGGCGAGGTTTCGGTCCCGGCCCATTAACTCATCCAACAATTGCGCGGCCGAAATCATGGTGCTTTCCTCGGGCGACTGCTCTCACCAGCCCTGGCACCCACCAAAGAAAACGCCGGCGACACAGTCGCCAAGCTCTCCTGCCCGCTCCCGGCCTAAAGCCTGCGCTAAACAGGAGCCGACAAGACAAAATGGCCGCCGCGCGGACGCCTTCCCAACATGCCGTGCGCGCGCGTGCGCCCACAGGGACACGCCCAGGCCTGGGAGGCGAGGGCGGGGCCTGCCGAGGCCTGAACTCCGCCCCTGCTGGGCCGCACCGCCCCATTCCGCGCCAAGCGAAACCGGAGGCTACTTAGCGTGGTAACGCGAGCTGCTTCCTTCCGTAGGCTCCGTTAGTCCCGCTCTCTTTCACGGAAATAGAAACATACGACTTGAGGCTTTAACACCGCTCCGAAATGGAGAAAAGGGTAGCGTATCCTTTTGTACCACGCGGTGCTCTCGGTGCCATCTTGCAGTGGAGGAAAGTGAAGATAAGCACTCGTTCCATGTTCCGACTCCTTTCTCCTAGTCTCTGCGCTTGCCGCCTCTTCTCCCTGGCTTGCTCCTCCCACCCCGACTCCCCTGATTCACAAGGTGGAAAATCAAGGCAAGAAGAGTTAAGGTGGTTTCTTCTCACGCGGAGTACGGGGAGGAGTTTGCCTCCCAGTCTGGAATTTTTTTTAATTATCGATTCATTTACTGAACAAATATCTGAGTACCTATCATGTACCAGGTAAACGCTTGAAGCTAAGCTCTGAACCTTTCAGACACGGTCTTTGCTCCCACAGACCTTGAGGATTAGTGAGGGAGATAGTTACTAAATAAATAAATATATCAATATAAATTGTGATAAGTACTCTAGCACCTTTAACTGTACGGACTCTAAAGACAGATCGTCTGGGTTGGTAATCCCAGCGCTGCCATTCTGCCTTCCTTTCCCCATCTGTAAAATGGGGCTTATAGTAATAATGGCCCCCTAAACACATAAGATGTTGCTGTGAAGATAACACAGGTAAGGCACGTAGAACAGGCCCAACACATTTTAAGTTTAATCATTAGCTATTACGATAATGAGGAGGAGAAAGTAGGGTTCTGTCAAAGAGTAAGAGAGGTCTCTCCGTGGAAATGACCTAAGGCCTAAAAGATGATGGCTCTCCAGCCAAGCAAAGTGGACAGAAAAGAACTCAAAGCAGAGAGAGAGTAGCATATACCAAGGTCATTTCATTATATGAAACGATGTTCATCATTATTTTAAATAAACCTAAAACTGTCAGGATACTCATTAAGTGGCCTGAGGATGGCAAGCATTTGAGAGATGCTGCTTTAAAGGGGTAGAGAAGGAACCATAGGATACTGTGAAAGGGAAGCCAAAGATGTAAGAGGAAAGTCTGAAGAGTATAGAGTCAGGGAAGATCAAACAAACAAACAAAAATAGAGAAACTGTTTCAAGAAGGTGAAAGTGGGCTTCCCTGGTGGTGCAGTGGTTAAGAATCCACCTGCCAATGCAGGGGACACGGGTTCGATCCCTGGTCTGGGAAGATCCCACATGCTGTGGAGCAGTTAAGGCTGTGCGCCACAACTACTGAGCCTGTGCTCTAGAGCCCGGGAGCCGCAGCTACTGAGCCCACGTGCCACAACTACTGAAGCCCGCACGCCTAGAGCCCGTGCTCCACAACAAGAGAAGCCACCGCAACGAAGAGTTAGCCCCTGCTCTCCACAAATGGAGAAAGCCCGCGCACAGTAACGAAGACCCAATGTAGCCATAGATAAATAAATAAAATTTTTTAAAGGTGAAAGTAACCAACATTGTAGAAAACGGCTGAAGGTCTGGCATGAGAAGACTGAAAAGGATCCACTGGATCCGCAGTTGGAAGTCAGACTGAAATGCATTGAAGAACGAAGGAAAAATGAAGGAGTAAAATGGCAGGTGGACAACTCATTTTAAGAAGTGAAGCAGGGAGATAGGGTAAGAACTGAAAGGAGGTATGGGTCAAGGGAGGCTTTTTTAAGATGGGAAATTAGAATATGTTTAGTGTTGGGAGGTAGGAGATGAAAGAAGAGAGTAGCTAAAGTTCCAAATTCTTAAGGGAAGGTGATGGTTTAGGCTCCAGGGCATATTGGCCTTTCCTAGAAAAAAGGACCTTTTCTCCACTGAAACAAGAGAAGAAAAAAGAAATCAGTTTGTAGATGCAGCAGTGAGATGAGGGAGTTTTCAGCTGATGGTTGCTGTTTTCTCAACGAAGCGTTTTTGAAAGTTCACCACTGCCATGACTACCAAAAGGGGAAAAAAAAAAAAAGTACATATCTTGAACTACAAACAGGACTTATAAAACCTGAGTGCAAAGTTACAGTTTCTGTTCACTAAAACTTTTTTTTTTTTTTTTTTGGTCTACATCACGCAGCTTGCGGGATCTTAGTTCCCTGACCAAGGATTGAACCTGGGCCATGGCAGTGAAAGCGCCGAGTCCTTACCACTGGACCACCAGGGAATTCCCTAAAACTTTTTAATCTAATACCCTCATTCATTCCACAAACTTTAATGGTGCATGTACTTTGTGCCAAGAACTGGGTTATGGCCAGGAACACAGATAGATGTATGCGACCTGGTTCTCAGGGAGCTCCTGAACCACGGAAGACAAAAATGTAACAATAACTTGAAATGCAATAAAAGGAAAATACTGTCCTTTGGATCTCAGAGGCAAGAGCTCCCACCCAGTCCCACACTAGGCTGTCTATGGCTCTCTTTTTCATAGATTCTGAGGCCAGCCACAGTTCAGTGCGTATTACCACTGCAGATAATGAATTCATTCATTTATCTTTTTCATTAATTCAACCAGTGCCAGCATCATCTGCTGGGCATCAGGGATTCAGACATAAAAGTAGTCTTTTGCTTTTTTGGCCGCGCCCCTGGGGGCAGGTGGGATCTTAGATCCCCGAACAGGGGAATCAAACCCATGCCCCCTGCGGTGGAAGCTCAGAGTCCTAACCACTGGATGGCCAGGGAATTCCCAAAAGTAGTCTTTATGAACAAATCACAATGCCCAGTTTACAGATAACTTTTTTTTTTTTTTTTTTTTTTTTTGCGGTACGCGGGCCTCTCACTGTTGTGGCCTTTCCCGCTGCGGAGCGTAGGCTCCGGACACGCAGGCTCAGCGGCCATGGCTTACGGGCCCAGCCGCTCTGCGGCATGTGGGATATTCGTGGACTGGGGCACGAACCCGCGTACCCTGCATCGGCAGGCGGACTCTCAACCACTGCGCCACCAGGGAAGCCCTACAGATAATTTTATAGATTATATGAGTTGGTTATTTTCTGATGCTGAGATGGAAAACAACCTTATCAGTCAGTGGTCTCCATACCCAGTTCCATGTATGTTACTAATGCAAAGTGTCATGGACTGAACTGTGTGCCCCACCACACACACACACAAATTCATATGTTCAAATTCTCAGAATCCATGGTAGGATCTCATAATGTAATTACATTTGGAAATAGAGCCTTTAAAGAGGTAATAAATTTAAAATGGGCCCCAATACAATCTGACTGGTATCCTTATAAGAAGAGGAAATTTGGAAACGCCAGGTAGGCACACAGACAGAGGAAAGGCCATGTGAGGACACAGTGAGAAGGCAGCCGTCCGCAAGCCAAGGAGAGAGGCCTCAGGAGAAACCAAACCTACCGACCCCTTGGATCTTGGACTTTTAGCCTCCAGAACTGTGAGAGAATAAATTTCTGTTGTTTAAAGCCGTAAGTCTGTGGTACTTTGTATGGCAGCTCTGGTGAATTAATAGAGAAATGAAGCCACAGTCACTAGTGCTTCCCAGTCTTCAGTGTGGCCCCCATAACTCCATCCTCCATCTGCTTTGCTGCCTCCATCATCTTCCTAAATGTAAATCCAGTTGTGTCTCTTCCCTGCTCAAAACCCCTCAGTGGTTCCCCATCTAAAATTTAAACACCACAAGGCCATCCATGATTGGACCTGCTTCTCCAGCTTTTTGCTACTGCTCCCCCACACCTTGAACACCCCTTCTTCCTATGACATCACACCACGTTACACTGCTGCAGACATGGAATGCCCTTTCCTCACCCCAGAAACGTCTACCCATCTTCCTCAGCTCACAGCCCAAGCGTCACCAGCTCTGTAAAGCCAGCCTGGACCCTCACTCTCTGCCTGCCACACACAACTCATCATCTTCCTTGTGCCACCATTTTACCTTGTACATTTTGGGGCTTGTCACACGATACTGCAAATATCAGTCTTTTTCTTTAAAATGAAAGTTTCTCCCTTTCAGTCTGGTGGCAGCCATCAGTTTATCTCAAAGGTAAGCCAAAATAGGCACTTACAAGTTCATCCAGGAGCTGTGGAGGAAAAAGCAGTCCGATGTAATGCGCTTTCTTCTCAAGGTGTGCTTTTGGCAGTACTGCCAGCTCTCTGCACTCCACAGGGCCCTCCACCCCACCCAGCCTGATAAAGCACGCAGACTGGGATACAAGGCCAAGCAAGGTTATGTCACATATCAGATTCCTTTGAGCCGTGCTAGCTGCAAATGCCCAGTTCCTAAGGGTGCCAGCTATGGCAAGCCTAATTATCATGGTGTTAAACGGCTACAGTTTGCTTGAAGCCTTCAGTCTATTGTGGAGGAGTAAGCTGGGTGCCACCATGTGGCTCTGAGAGTCCTGGATTCACACTGGGTTGGTGAAAATTCTACACACAAATTCTTTGAGGTTATCCTCATTGATCCATTCCATAAATCTACCAGAAGAAATCCTGACACCTAGTGGATCACCAGTCCAGTCCACAAGTACAGGTAGATGTGAGGGCTGACACTGGCAGGTTGAAAGAGCTGTAGCCTTGGAAAGGGCCACAAGTTCCGCCACCCCGCTGGTGGTTCTCATCATGCAGCTTGGAGATGGCACAGTACTCTCCAGCTCCACTGTTACTGCTAATATAAGTAATGTTTGTGGGCTTCCCTGGTGGTACAGTGGTTAAGAATCCGCCTGCCAATGCAGGGAACACGGGTTTCGAGCCCTGGTCTGGGAAGATCCCACATGCCGCGGAGCAACTAAGCCCAGCACCACAACTACTGAGCCTGTGCTCTAGAGCCTGCAAGCCACAACTACTGAGCCCATGTGCCACAACTACTGAAGCCTGCATGCCTAGAGCCCGTGCTCCACGAGAGAAGCCACCACAGTGAGAAGCCCGCACACTGCAACAAAGAGTAGCCCCTGCTCGCCTCAACCAGAGAAAAGCCCACGTTAAGCAACAAAGACCCAACACAGCCAAAAATAAAATTAAAAAAAAAAAAGTAATGTTTGTGAAATTCTTACCTAATAAATTAGGATATTCATGTCTAAAAAGTGTTTTTTAACTTGTCTCTTAAAACTAGTTGTCTACAGATTGTTTCATGAATGCATTGTCAAATTATGAAAGCTAAAGTGCAATAATGTTTGAATACTATAAGTGATGGTATATCTTGTTTCTAATAAGAAAAATACTTTTGTCTTTGCTTTATCCTTTTAGGAAGTTTACACGTCAGCGTTTAAAATGCTGTTTTGTACAATAGGTATAAAATACATTACGTAGAAGAGGAGTGCAGAAACTAGCCATGCGCATGTTGGTGCATGTGATGAAACAGACAGCTTTACTGGAGTGATGCATTATTCTGCTGGGTTACTCTCCAGTGGCTGTTTTATGGAGTTTGGCAAGGATAGACTTTTTTTTTTAATTAATTTATTTTGGGCTGCGTTGGGTCTTCGTTGCTGTGCGTGGGCTTTCTCTAGTTGTGGCGAGTGGGGGCTACTCTTTGGTGCGGTGCGTGGGCTTCTCATTGCAGTGGCTTCTCTTGTTGCAGAGCACGGGCTCTAGGTGCGCAGGCTTCAGTAGTTGTGGCATGCCAGCTCTACGGTGCAGGCTCAGTAGCTGTGGCACACAAGCTTAGTTGCTTGGCGGCATGTGGGATCTTCCCGGACCAGGGCTCAAACCTGTGTCCCCTGCACTGGCATGCAGACTCTTAACCACTGTGCCACCAGGAAAGCCCAAGGACAAACTTTTAAAATTGGATTTTGCTTGGAAATGTGAAGGATGTCCTAATCCTCTGTCATGATCATATGCAGAAAAGTAATGAAAGTTGGCTAGGGCCTACATTTTTAGATTTAATCTAATATTCCATATCTGTGACTGCTGCTTCCGAAAGGAGAAAAGTTTAAAAGAATGCCACCATTTTTAAGAGAATTGAATAAACATGTTGCAAGAGGATTCTCTTACAAAAGAAACAAATCCTGGTTAACCTAAACAAAATTGCCTTGGTCTCCACAGTCCCACTGAAGTTCACTTAAAAGGCAGAGGCTCCTGACTCAATCCCATGACTCCACGGGATCTGTAGAATACTGAATTTCATGCAAAATAGTAATGGTATTTATACTGGCATATACTGAAACTGATGGAAATTGAACATCAAGTAAATGAGAAGGGAATTATAAACCTTAAGGTTTGTAAGCTAGTAACGCTAGGATTGGGAAATTGATGGTCATCAGATACCTTTCAAGTGTGGGAGGATAGAAAAAGTCAGCTTTGATCAAAATTGTAAATACTTTATCTGTAGTGCTAGTTTGTGACCATTTTACCTTTGGCTAAAAAATAAGGTTGGCTTTATTTAAAAGTAACATCATTGCTGAGTCTAACAAGTGTTAAAAGTCATCTTGGGTCAACCCAATTTATCCATTCCCATAAGGCTACTGAGAAAAGTCATGTAGTTGCTGTTAATACAAGTTCATGGTTTCCAATTTAACTACATTATTTTTTTCATTCCTGC